CCTGTCCCCTCTAGAGATTGCAGCTGCACCGGATCCTCACATGATCAGCTAGATTCTTAAGTTTCAGCAGTGAACCTTGGAGTCACGGCCAGTAGTCATAGAATAAGGTGGACCATGGTCGAGCATTGCTTAAAGGAATCTTCCACAAAAAAGCTCCGCCCTCACTACCACAGAAAACGATACCTTAAAGGAATCTTCCACGGAAAGAGTGATCATTTTGTCTTGTGTGTAGGATCAGTATTATCGAAACTAACGCTTATGTTCCGTTCCTTTTGCTATGCTCATGAGGCTAGGGGCCTAAGGGGTATCGTTTTTCTGTGGTAATGGAGGCGGAGCTTTGCTGCGGAAGGTTCCTTTAACCCATTCGCAACCGCGCGGGATTGCGCAATAGCAGGAGAGTCAGAAGATTTTTCTTCAATAAAATTTGAGTGGATGGAGATTTTCCCTGCCCAGGGCTGGCGTAGATGAACGAGGGTATGAGGATTCTTTTCCGGGAAGAAAACTTTCCAAATTCCATTTGAAACACGGCAGCCGTCGTGGATACCATTGTCCCGAGTGAGATATTTGGCAGCCACCGGTGGCTGCCATTGTCGCGAATGGGTTAACAGGAGGTCGTATTTGGGTGAGGAAGGGGTCGCATTTCGATTTCTTGGGGAGTTGAAAGTGTATATAGTGGATCTATGAGGGGAAACAAAATTGCGACGTTAAGCGCGAAACATGCTGCTTCAATACATGTACACAGCGACACTTTACACCATTCGTACCATCAGTTATCAAAGGATCTGGGGGGAATGGGGGTCGTATTCATCATGGAGCATAAGGATGTGGAGAGACATGTTCGATTTCTCGATCATGCCTGATACCGAGCGAGTTTTGGAAGCCATATGTGCACCGAGCTTGCTTTACATAAGATCAAGGATGATTCAGATTAGACAGGAATTCGACGAATTCCTAAACGCATACGCATACATTGAGCATGCAAATTTCCTGGCACACTTATTGAAATGTTGCATTCAATCGTCAAATACCATGAGACAGCAAATGTTCTTGAATTGCTGATGAAGGGGAACGCAAAAAATAGCAAATGGCAATTGTTGTTTAGGTCTTCCATTTCCATCACAACGGCCTATGGAAATATAAATTTGGTTTTTTCCTAAACATATAAGCGCGAAATGTGTACGAGGTAGACATCGTGGGCAAATTCTAACAAAATTGCTAACTACTCACCTAGATGAAATAAAATTCGATCATATGGCAGGTCCCAGTTTTCAGCAACGGCGTGTATACCAGTTTCTATCCTTTTTATGCCTAATCTCATCCCATCAAGTAAAGCGTCATCAAGAGTAAGTACCAGCCAGCAAGTTTGTGCGACTTTTCTTCAAAAAGCTATCTTGTTCAAGATTATTTTCTTGTGATTTTACCCCCTACTTAATATCCTACTTTACACGTGGTACGCTTCTCCATAAATGAATTAAAGGAAGTCCACTATAAAAGGCAATTCCACAGCAACCACAAGTCACTGACTTGAAACCCATCATACAGGATAAAAAGGAAAACAACAAAACAATGTGCTCGCTTAGGTAAAGAATTCGAAAACCCCGAAGAGCTGTTACATGTTCGAATCTCCGCCGTACATCTGTCACAAATGCTGGCAATGGGACGATTCCACTTGGTTCGCGAGTTCTGTCACTAGGAGCTTTCTGACCTGACCCACGGCAATAACATTTCCCCTTTCTCCTGCATCCTATTCCATCGATCGTTGTGTCTCTATTCTCTAAATTCGGACCCTTTAACCCGACTCTTTCAGCTCTTCGCTTGATTTTGATCTCACGTCGCCTCAACGTTGTCTCCGTCCGAGCTACGCACAACCGTCCATAGGGCGTGGTTTTTGAGGGTTTGTTTCTTTTCGGAAACAAAATGTTCTTGCGTAAACTTTGTAGGTTCCCTCCAATGATCACGGCTGATGTATTTATCATGTGCAAGTGCCGCTAGTTGATTTCGAACCAACTAACGGAACCTGCCTTTGCCCACACCAATTAACAGAAAAGAACACTAAATAAGTAAATAATCATCGTCGCTCACTACCCTACTGGTACAGTGTTACCAGTAGTGTAAAGAGAGGAAGGAAGTAAAGAAGGAAAGTGAATGATGAATCAAATACTGATCGGAGTTAGGTGAGCAATCTAAATGTCTGTCTTCAGATTATGAGTTTAAGTAATATCGACTTGACAGTTCAGGTGTAGAAAATTTTTGCTGAATGTCATCTATGTCTAAGAAGAATATAGCAGTGAATCTACAGGGTGGTCCTTATGAGGACCGCGTGCGCGCGCAGTCATATCACTTTTTTCCATATCTCATCTCGTCTTTCTTTTTCATCTCGTTTCCTGTGCACTATGTGAAAGGGTACAATGTCTTCTTCCTGATGAAACCACATTTCATGAAGTTCTCAAAACTAGTGACTAAATACTTCACTTTGAGTCAGTCTTTAAATTGAACTCACTAGGGGCTCTGGCACGTTACATCTAGCAGCAGTCTAACCTATCAGAGAAGCCCTTATGAGCAACAATTCAACTCTTCAATAAGTTTGGAATCACCACAGATGGAAAATTCGGGACGCGAAAGTTACAGTTACCACTAGGATAATTATCAGATGCAGAAACTGGGTCTCCCCTTGTCGACTTTCGTACACCCAAAATGAAAAAATTGATGTGAAAACCCAGCCAGACACTCTAAAGACTCCACATCAGTCGTGGATAGAAAGCCACACGAGTAGTCTACTTAGAACTTATGATACATACAATACAGTTGAGATTTTGCGAATATTACCCCTCATTCCAGGCCATGGCGAAAGTAAAGCTGCTGTCAGACTTCGATAAAGGGAAAATCCTAGCAGAAGAAGCGCAAGAATTGTCGAAGTGTCAGTTCATCTAGAGTTTATCAGGACCACTTGCATACAAATAATTTACTTGAGGAATCTGCAGGATATAACATTGTGATCAACTCTGATTGCTGTCTGGCCCAGATCAGCGCCTTATTGAGAGAATAATACAATTGTCAAGTTAGGCACAGAAATCGAAAAATTTTCAAAAGTTATGTCTCAATAATCGCAGTTTGACGTGTGTTGCAAGAAGTTTTTGATAGCTCTTGTTTGGAACACGGGTGAAACATTTCTTGTGGAAAGAAATTTTACCGAAAAACGAGCTAACTTCTTCAAAAAATGTTGCCAAGTTGAGTGTAGCGAATACACTTTTTATCTTTCAGTTCGTGATTAGTATCACAAGTATGCTGGGTTGTGAAAAAACTTTCGCCCCAAGCGGGACTAACAACAAACATCAACCGTGATTAGTATCTTTCTTTCTCTTACGTACTCCTTTCTCAGAGTGCTTTCTTCCTCTTTGCCGGGAACATAAAGCAGAAAATGATCAGCAGTATGGCCAGAAACCTCAAAAGATCATGGACAAAAATGGGTTCTCACTTCACCTGACTTGACCACACTTCTGAGAGAATTGGCTAATTTTTCCATATGGTTCCCTTTCAAGGAAAATGTCTCCCTCATGTGCTACACATGTTTATCAAAAGCGTTCAGTAAAACACCTCAAACTGCGAGCACAGAGACATTAACTTTTGAAAGATTTTGGTTCCGTACTCGGTTGGTAAAGTCGTACTATTTTCTCATTATAAGGCGCTTATGTCGACCGAACAGCAGCCAGAGTTCATCACGGTATCATATCCTGAAGATTCCTCGAATAATTTTATTGAAGTGACCCCGATAGAACTGCAGCGTGAATAGGCTGTCGCGACGCTTCCACTATTTCTGCGCCTCTTTTGTTAGGAGCTTCCCTTTATGAAAGTATGACAGCGGTTTTGCTTTTGCCATAACCTATGGATGTCAATGGGATAATATTTGCAAGTTTCGTAGGGTAAAAAGAGAATGCAGAGGAAAAACATGTGGTGGAAGCATAATTTCGCGGGAAGGCAGAGCGAGGATTTTCAAAAAAAAAATAATGAATAAATGTTGCCTTCTTAAATTGGAACTTTGTGTTGGAGCGGTGCCTATACGAATCACAATTCCTCATTTTCCGAATACATTTTTCGATGTGAGTTTTGGAGAGATTTGTAAATGGAAGTATCTTTATCGCTGGGCGGCTATTACTGTTCAATTGAGGCACATATTGACCTGCAGAAAAATACGAAAAATAAACAAAAAATAGTACGGAATATGAGTTTCTGGGATGGGGTAGCTTCGTTATGAAATCGCGGGACATCGAAGTGTGAAAACATGTGACTCTTAGGCTGACTCGGCGTATTACGCCCCCAACAAATCAAACATATACAGTTCAGCGAATTCATTGGGTTCACCACACAGTGTTACTGGGGCATTTTCGCCATTTCTTCCAAATCCCCAATTCGAGCGATGCGCCTTGCCCATAATTACTCATACACTGTTGAGAGCTATATACTGCTCTTAATTTCGCAAGTAAACCTAACAAACGATAGCAGAGTTGGAGTGAAGAAATGGCCCAAGTGTGCTATTATCCATCAGCGAGACCTTTTTTTTTACAGGCGGATATCCCATGCTCATAGGAAAACAACTAAATCATGGGCAAAAATTTTTCATTTCCCGCTGACAATTGATGTTCACGGTAAAATGGGGTAGATGGTCAAGACAAAAAGTAACGTCAAAAAAGAAATCTCTCAGGGGACTGATCGCTCCCGAAGCGATGTGATCAGCTAAGAAGCTTGCAGCTCACAGATTCATATAGCAACTCCTACATACATGAGAGCCAAATCGACTTTTCAGCATGAATTCTTTGCTAAATTCAATATGAGATAAAGACGTAAAGTAACTTCTATAGAAAACAACTATGAATCAAAGTGCGAGGTCAACATTTCGAATCTCTTGTGTGCGAGTTGTGGAAACTCTAGCTTCCAACGTGGTATAAGTCTCAACAAGTCTATGCTACACTGTGTAGAGGAGCGAAGAAAACAATGTTGTGAGGCTACTTTGAGTAGAAGATGTGATGGTAGTCTTCGTCGGGATTGTCCGTCTTTGTAATGACTTCGTCTTTCACCAGCGGTATTCCTTGTCGTGTCATTTCTATGGCCAGATCAATAAGATAATCTATGCATTCGGCCCTGAAATAGAACTCGTTCCCAAGGGTTTAATGCTTGTGGTCTACCAGCAAGGTTTCATGTCGAGACTTCATCAACGGCCCAATTTCTCAGCTGGTAACTCAAATAACGGCTCTTCCTGATTAAGTGAGAACTTAATTATGGGCGCATTTGGGAATTTTTTCGCTTGGCCCTGCTCTGGGGCCAACTACCGAAACTGATCTCGCTTAAATCACAAGCTTAGCTATCTAATAGTACGGAGTCTCAGATGAGTCCGGCTATTGGTTCCAGACTCCACTGAGAGAATGATGCCTGCTAACCTGTATTATACTTTGGCTATTCTTTGCATAATTTGAAGATGCATTCACGAGGTACTTCACTCTATACTCATGCGTGGCGCATCCCAAAAGGGAACACTGAAGGCCCGCATAATCCTACTTACTACGTCTTCGTCTTTCTGTCGTCTGAATGTCCGTCGCGAAATTCCCTAGCTCCTCGGGATCCGCCTGGAGGGACCGGGTCAAGTGTGCAATGGGTGGGCAAGTTCTCACGAAATACAAAACCCACATCAGCTAGGCGAAGCCCCGCCTACAGAGGGCGTGGCGTGCGTCGAAATGAACTATACCGAAGACCAAGATTTCGATGTGAGCGACAAAACGACCTCGAAACTAGGCCAAAATGTGGGTAAAGGTGTGCATTGGTGAGTCACATCGAATTAGGGAGACCCACCCCCGGCGGGCGGGGCATTCTCCAAAAAAGCAGTACTTTATGAAAAATTTCATAACTCGGTTGGGAGAAAGCCTACAGAGCAGAAAACAAAGTGGTGTAGGCGACCAAAGTCTAAGGTGTTCTCAGCATACATGACGTGGGCGGAGGTCTGCCCAGAATGGGCGGGGCGCGCTTTGAAGTGAACACCATTCTCTAAAGTCCTCATAATTCGGGCCGGGGAAGTCTTAAAGAGCCGCAAAAGGTGGATGGAGGTGGGTGGAGGAGGGGAGGCAGGCTGTCACTGGTGGGTGGGGCTTGACCAATGTGGGCGGAGTTTGCGACGAAAACTCATAACTCGGCTCCAAGAAGTCCCCGAGGCAGGGAAAAAGGTGGATGGAGGTGGGTGAAGGAGTGGAGGCTAGCTGTCAGTGGTGGGTGGGGCTTGACCAAAGTGGGCGGAGTTTGCGACGAAAATTTATAACTCGGCTCCATGAAGTCCCGGAGACCGGGAAAAAGGGAGTAGAGGTCGGCGAAGGAAAGGAGGCCAAATGCTATTGGTGGGGGCACGCACCGAAGTAGGCGGAGTTTGCCACGAACTTTATTGTCCGGAAGCAGTCCGGAGACCGGGGGGAAAAAGAGGACAATTTGACGAAGGAAAAGAGGTTGAAAGCCATCGATGATAGAGCGGATCGAATTCAGCTGAGGATTCAGACGTGGAGGATCAAGCCAAATTTGAAATTTTTCGTCGCGCCATCAATCGCCGCAGATCTGTGTTGTGCGCGCAATGCGTGTAGCGCCAACTGGTATGGAATACGGTGCTTTTAGCTCCTGCTCGTTAACGCGCCGCATCTCAGCGGCGCCTACTTGCATGCTATTGCGCATTCTCACCGAGGTTCACTGCGTTTTATAAGTCCGGGTGCAATGTGGCTCGAGGGTGGGAAGTCGCCGCCCTCGAGCCACATTGCACCCGGACTGCGCGTTCACTTACCATAGTGTGGAGAGGTGAATTCCGTGAGCCATGGAGCGTAGCCAGTCTAGGGGGTAGGAGGTGAGGGCAGTCATTTGAAATGCGTTAAAAGTTGAAATGTTTGAGTTTCCACTTTGTCGTTTGGACTGCTCCCGTCCCCCTTCGAGCCCCATTGACCTAAGCCTGAATGCTATCAGGAAGTGTTGAGCAATTTTTTATAACTCCATGACAATTTTTACGTAACGACAAAGTTCAAACAGTATGTGCAGACACTTACATGATTTTCGTCTTTTCCCAGGTATTAAGCCCCATACGAAAAGACCATGACTGCGAACCAAAACAGCACACGAGCGTTGATGAGTCTTTAGGCATTCGTCCAAAGCGGGCTAAAAATAATGCGAAAAGGTGCGGATACGTTTTATCACAAGGACGAATTAGCTTCACTTCTTCTTCATAGTATCGATAGAGTACGTTATAATGGAATGAGCAACTACTGCTCGCTGAACCACACAGCTTTCGTATCTTGAAAAAAAAATGAACTAATTTCAGACTCTCGTTTACACTAACCTAAGGTGGCAGGGACGAATTCCACTCATTTTTTGAGAAATAGACAAGGAAATTTTTGTTTATATCAACGTCTATCAAACATTGAAAATAATTCTGTGCCCTTCGACTGGCTGTTCTGACGTCTCACGAGGATTATTAGCATTCCTCGCAGTTGGACTGCCAATTGGCAACGCCTCAGAAGATAGTACATGTAAAAAAATAGGTAAGGTCAAAGTTATGGTAACTGAAGTGCTCTCTTCTAAAATAATTACCATACATTTATTCATTTATTACATGAGATTTGTAATGTAACGCCGCAAGGATGCTCTTGAAGAAATATGTGAACATTGCCGCAAAAGCATTAGGTAAGAAGGCAGAACAGATTTGAAATAAATTGACTAAAAAACGGTAGAGCTGAGTGACAATGAGCAAAGAGTGGTAAGAGCAAAAGTCCTACGAATTACATAAAACAGACGACGAAAAGCCAAGAAATGATACATTACTCCAAATGAAGTGTAAGATACATATGTTTAAGTTGATGATAAAGAGCTTGCGCGTATATAGAAGAAATGACAGCGATTAGTGAGTTTGGCGAGGGTCTTCATTAACTTCGCTGTACCATGCCTACCAGGTCACAGAACAGAACGCTTGACTATTAAGACCGGTTTTACCGTGAAGGGTTTTGCAGCGCATCGAAAAGACGGACTTTTCTTTTCCCATGACGGAATTAGGCCGAAGAGTTCCTTTCCGCGATAGATAGGCTTTCACTATAAAATTCTGCTCCTCTAATCATAAGTTTTCTAGGTGAATTTTTTCTATGACAATGTATTTGCGCTCGTATGCATTAACGCCACTACTGTACCATACTTGAGAAAATGCATGCTTGCAATTCCTTACCACACTAGCCGGAGGAATACGTTTTACCCTCACTACAATCATTTAATAGTTTTAGCGTAATCACCTTGGGTAGCATGATGTGGCAGAGGGAAGGAGGGGGTGAAGGATACCAAGATGGTTTTATTGCACACAAGATCAAACCTCAAGCCTACCATCCCTCTGGGGCGGCTAATTAGGGCCATGTTCCTTGAGAAGTATGAAACACGTTATCAGATGCCTCTGCAAATTCTTGCAGAGGTCATTCCACATTTAAATGACCTCGCTACTCTTAACGGACGTATCAATGAATGCGTGGCGCATCATAAAAGGATACTGCTCATCCCCTATTCTTTGATCGTGATGGTCTGTTGGCTGACAAACCTGCGTCGTTTCGCACACTGACGGCAGCGTGCCGCGGTAACGCGTCTCCTTGAACACCACGTCGGATAGTGTGACGCGCTCACGTGTCCCACCAGAGTTACTCCTTTTTCTCGCGCTTGCGCGAAGTATTTCCAAATTGTTTATACTCGTTCTATGGACAGCACCATTAATAACTATCAATGCATTGTTCGCCGTATGGTCAAATATGCAATAGTTTAGCAAAGGGTTTCCGAGTGCTATGAAATTGACAGCTCAGTTCATCGTTTTCTTCTTATCTCACGGACATCTAGGAAGAGTAGCAGAAGCAAATACAAACCCACACGGATAGAAAAAAAAGGTGCTCTTCGTGGCACAACTACGTCAAAATTACTTTTGAGTCCCACAACAGCACAGCAAAAAATTGCTCTTTAATACTATTACACGTTTTGGTCGGGATGGTGGCCAGGGTGAGTAACGGTCGAGGATATCCTCGACCATAGCTCTCTACAATGTGAGAGTAGTGCCGAGGGTGAAGATCTGCGTGGAGAGCACAGACGGCACACCCATGGCGAGTGTGAATGTCCGCGCGAGAGATCGTGTCTGACCGGGCAGAGAATCCTCGACGTGACGTTGAGGAATCCTCAAGCAATATTCACCCTGATGGTGGCCGCGCTCTCAAAATTGCTACAGACCCACTTGGGCTAAAAAAAAGCCAAATCGCGCGCTGTCGTCAAGGTTCTGACAAACATTGGCCCCAGTTCAAAAATATTTCGATGTCTATACCACATACATACTACTCATCACAGTTGTATATAATATAATACATGTGGACATTACATTAAGTAATACCCACGATTTTGCAATTGATTTCGAGAGATTCCGATAATTCGGGTATTGTCTATGCACTATCTGCTGGCTGGGATTAGTCATTAAGTGCACCTTTGTAGAACCTTGAAGAACATAGCGATTACCTCATAATATACACTTTAACTCTTGCGGATGAGTAAGGCGTGGTTGTGCACATGGTGATGTAGCGTGGTCGCAAAAGCGTGGAATGACATTTGTCTGACGGCAAGCGAACGAGTGTGCTACTAGATGGTGAGGAAAAGTTGGAAAGTATCTATAGTTAACAATAGGTACCTCTACCTGGAACAAGGCATTTCTCAGTCAGTATTCTTTGGCCTTGCGAAAAATTGCCTGGTGAGGCGCGAATGCCTGAGTATGCCCACGGGCTCCAGCCGGGGTCCAGCCCAGGGACTGGACTTCATAGGTCACGTCTACCCTCGCTCATCTCCATGCTATCTCATCTCTGATTTTATTCTCTTCACTCGGTGCCGAGTATCTCTCACCTCCTGTCTGCATTCTATCTTCCTGCACTAACTAGAAAAAGTAGCCCAGTCTTTTCAGTATTTCCGGTGGTTTCCTTTATTTTATTGGCACTGTCGGTACACCTCGCAACTCATTCCCGAGAAATAAGTATAACAGTTTGATGGTTGGTGTGAATTCAAAGTAGCTACTTCGCAGGACCTAATCAAGCAGTGGACATTATTAAGGCGAGGGATTACGATAAAATTGGAATGGGTTCATTGTGGAAGCGAAGGTGCTGAGTGATGCCCCAGTGGTGATAAAGGCAAAGAAATTCGTCGAGAACGCGCAAAATGGGACCCCTTTCTTTGCCCGTTGACCTCCGATAATGGACGAGTTAGCAACCAACTGAGAGGGCTTTTGCACATGTTAAACCGATAGGCACCATCATACTAGCAAAGGCCATGCTTTGATTGGTAACAAGATCCATGGGAAAGTTATGAAAAAAGAAGTAAAGTTATGCGATATACACTCATAGTAATTCCTTATTAAAACGATAATGAAGGACGCTGCGGCTACGGGCGGGGCACAGTCCGTGGCGGAGCTCAGAAAGGAATGGCAGGCCTACTACGCTACAGGTAGCGCACCTCTGGCCACAAAAGCGCCACATACCACTTCCTTCGGCCCCTAGCTACTGCTTCCACTGGTGCATGTACTTCCACGCTGCACACACATATTATCGTAATCTCTCGCTTTAAGCAGAGCATCATTAGCAGTTGGCAAATAGACTAACGGTGTACCTTGGTTTAAGGCACGGTGAATGTTAACCCACGTATGTTGATTGGATGGGGAGCGCAGAACACGACAAATCCTTCCTTTTCACATCCTTTCGTAGAAATTGTTCAATTCTAACTCACTAGTAGTTGCCCTTCATGCGGTTGGTTCTCGATGATCGGGATAGTTAATGTGTCTTCATAGCTGAAATTTTTTCCAGTGAATGGGTCGTAGACACCTGGAAGTGATGTTCCCCAACAAATTTCAAATCAATCACAAAGTTCCTATATCAGCACCCCACCTTTAATGTACTCCTGATGTGAGATTTCAAAAATATTCGTTTTTACAAGTTGAGTGATAAGATTAGCAGCTTTTCCGTGGCTATGTATCACGCATTTAGATCCTGAAACGAAATTTCATTTACATATATAGCATGCACTTATTTGTCCCTTTAGTAGGAGCGAAGGGACTCAAAGTATCCTCCACGCAAAATTCTTTATCCTTTCACGACATGGATCTGTGTCTATTGTAATAACTGGAGACAAAATACAAAGTTCACGCACGGAGACTCAGTTTCCGAAGAGGAGTAAACTTACGAAAACCACAGTCTGTGGACGGTCGAAGGTAGGTCGCGCGAACCCAAAGGCATGCGCCTTGCGGCGTCCACATGTCAGGTGGGCATTAAAAGAATCGGCTTAAAGGTGCGATTTTTAAGAAAGAGGACAAAATTATCAATAAAATAGGATGCAGTAGATATGTCAGTTTTAGTGTCAGCGTTTGTGACTGATTTACGACGGGAATTTGAACGCGTGATAGTCCATCCGGTTTTTCGATTTGTTTGCCAAAATAAATGTATTTTTTCTTTCCGTTCTCGTCGTGGACGATGGGTCCCAAGCCAGTGATTTATGGATGGGACAGAATCATGATTTTTCCGGGAAAGATTCCTTCAAATGGGAGAGGCCGAAAGAATGGAAATGCAAGGCCAACTACTACTACATAGTAGACTGCTCACGATGGTCACTCATGAGTAGCCTTTGGTTATCTAGCTCTGAACTCCTACTAGGGTTTTCCAAAACAGAGATTCGGGCTCACTGTAGCTCACAATATAGCAAACAACCTCAAGAACATCCACTCACCTGTTTGCCTCATAATCAGCGAGAATAAAGAACAACATGATGAGACGTCAATTTTCGAGCTCAGCGGCCGTTGAACTTGTTGCTTACTTTTAAGGTCATAGACAAAGATGTCCAATCTAGAAATAATGGGTCGAGTTCTGAACAATTGGATAGACAGACTTGATCTCAGTAAGTGTAGAGTTTTGTAGACGAAATGTAAAGGGTAATGTTTTTAATAGAAAAAACGAATGGAAAAAACTTGATTTTCAACAACTCCTAAGTTCATTGATAAATAGCGGCTTCCCATTCTTAAAATTGTCTGCTAATATCTTACACACCGCTTTATGTTTAAGGCCGTTAAAACAATGTTTCCCCCTGAGAATCACAACAAAGATACATAGGGCGACGAGACGAGAGACCGGAGTCAAAGATGCAAGAGAGCAGGGTGAAGACCGAGACCCAGACAGCAATACACATATTATATGCATATTATATTAATTCTAGAGAGAATTGGTTGGTCCCAAGATTTTTAATTTAATATTTCCGTTTCAAGCTGACTGTTTTTCTTCATAAGCTCAGGCACCCTAACTAAATAGATTCAAACCGCGGAATCGGTCAAACCTCAACGCCTGCAAATGGCTCTGTCTTACTCAAGATTCCTTCCACTCAACTCGCCCTCTTCCACCAATTTCATTCCTGGTCAAACTAACCATAGAGTTTGTCCCGAAACGCGTTCCACTGTGTGAAAATAGGATTACTGGGCATAGGGAGATCTTCGTGGGCCAAGACAAAGTTGTTAGCGTCAATGAGGTCGCAACACTTGCTAAGGGGCTACTTATCGCTGCGGACGGGTCAATTGATTTACTAATCGGCCAGTTGAGAAACATTTCAGGATTACCCATTCAGTTCTCTACCTTCAAATGAAAGAATTTCATAGATGAACATGGAAAACAAAACGAAATACACGGGAAAGAAACATCAAACTCCATTTGGAATTCAAAACGCCATTGCTTTGCGTAATTACTATCAACTTCGACGTCGACCCTATTACATCGAGCTAAGCAAACCAGCCCTTTTGGCGTTTCTGCTGGGGCAGTATGCTGAGTATTGGGGAGGGGATGGGGTCCCCGAGTTCGACGGACTACTTGAACTCGGTCGGTACGGAGGAAAGTGATGACGAAGTAGTGCAGCCAAGTCCAGCAGCTCCGCCAAAAGGGCGTTTGCTCACCCCAGGACTAAGCCTTGGATGGAGCTCCGCTCTCTCGCAGCTCCGTCCTCTCTTTAAGGCTTAGTCCTGGAATAAGCATCAAATTGAGGTGGTTTTAAGGACCGAGAAAAAACTAGTCCGTCGTTGGTCGGGGACCACATCACCTCTCCAACATTCCGCATACGGCCCCAGCTGAAACGCCAAATGGGCTGGTTTCCTTACTTCCATCACGACAGGAACACAACAGTTGCAAATTCGGAAAAAGAAATAAATCGTATGGAAACAAGCGAAAATTGGCCTGCTTCGCTTTTTCCTCAGACAAACCACTGTCAATCCGTCTACCATTGTAGCTGATCACTGAGGTGAAGTTAACGAAAGAGCGGGATGAGATGACATATAGTACTCAGACTAGAGACATAAACGATCCTGTGGAAGGGCAGCTATTCAATGTAATTAATCAATCAAATGAAGTTCACTTAAATCGCTGAATAACTTTGGAGGAACGCTTTTTTCAGGGAAACCTAGAACTAATTATGGTTAAGAGCCGTCAATCGACTCGTCAAGCTACATTACAGTGGTAATGAAAATTTCTTCAAACTCAACAATGCTTCGCTGCGAAAGTTTGACTCGCATATAGCATTTAAAAATGCGTGGAAATCCAAAGATGCCTAAAATCTTGGTGAGTCGTTTTCTGCATCACAAATTCTTTTGCTAGGTCTGTTCTCAAGATGATTGGGTGAGGGTGCTGTGGACAATAAACGAAACTAAAGCATTTGGCACGCCTAGTCAAGTAAGGAATGAGAAATTCCAGTTTTCCGGTCACCCGCGATGTCTAAATACCCCTCCTTTTGCGCAAAAAGGAGAAAGTTCAAAGGAGTTTCTCTCATAACTTCATCTTGAACAGCTAACTTTTGTTTTTGCTAAGGTACTGTTGACAAGCTAATTACCAGTTACTCGAGAGATTAACTTCTCAAGAACATTGGTAATGTAAATTGCTCTGCAACAAACGTACGTTTTAAGACGCTCCTTTTGGAGGGCTGATGGTGATATGAAGAGTTTATCATCGGCAACGCAGCCCATTGCGCCACCTGTGCCACGCATCCAGCCCATTTCATAGAATTGAACCATTAATTCCACGAATAGCTCAAGGTTCATTGGCTGAAACGGCGAGTTCGTAGAGGGGAACGCGCGAGTTCCATCGCTCACATCTCAAAAGTACTAAATATTCTCCACCAAAACGAAATATAAAATCCAACCCGTTCAAAACTCAACACATCTGTATCGATCTACCTCTTCATCAGGAGTATGTGGAAAATTTTCCGGGAACATTTCCAGAAAGTTGACGTCATCAGTGAAAGATGCCATTTGCAGAAGAAGACGGAAAAGTATCTAGAGCTAGGTTTGTGATTAATATAAGTGATTACGGGTAGGCAGTAAGTTGCGGGGCGTGTTATCCCCGAAAGGACACCTGCGTCAATACGCAATCGATCGATACTGGAACACCATTTAGGTTGCTGGCGATACAATAGGTGGTCCAGAAATGCTGGGTGAAACGTATCCTGGTGCTCAGCACTTTTGTGCTCACAAGATGGGATTTCATCTTCTTTTGTGGGGTAAAATTCATGAATATATTTGCATATTTTCGGAATGGAAAACAACCGGCGACTATTCCATAACGACGAGCTGAGTTCATTTAAGGCTATGTAAATAAGCATTTGTTCACTAAGTCAACATAAGCGAATACACAGAGAAAAAGCAATTTTTAAGGTCACAATACTCTCCGAAAATCCAAGAGATTTGTCAGAAGTGTTTCACTATGAATCTTTGACAAAGTGACTGACTTTCGATACATAAAATAACTACTTCAACTAACCCGTAAACGAAGCCGTTAGCATCTTATAGCGGTTGTTTGTACTGAGTGGAAACTACTGGGATATCTGAAAAAAATGAGAACTTGGAATGCTTCGAAGGCTCACTACGTTCTGTGGATATATTCACATAGGCGAAACTCCAACTCGGGTGGGGGCTTTCCATTGCTATCTTATCCGTAGTACTAGATAGCACACCTTCAGGTTATTCAACACTATGGATAACATAATAAGTAAAAGACTCGCTTTGAGCGTACTTTTACTAAGGACTGGCGGATGTCTTACATTCCACACATCCTTCCCATATCCTGTTCACTTTTCTGCAGAGCTCATCCACCCTAGAGCTCCCCCAATCTTAGCTCTAGGCAAAGGTGTCCATTCTCCAGGTCCAGGACCGTTTCCATGGACGATGGCAGGTGGAAATGTAAAAGCATCTTAGGGATTCCTCCACATTGCACCGATACTTATCAGAAGTACGCTTTGAATGAATCGGGTATGTACGTGTCATGAGCGCTCTCATCCTTATATTGAGCATTGAAGAAACAATGGAGTAACCCCCATCCCTGAACTGGAGCTTCACCATTCACATATAGTGAAGCATTAAAGTTGGCGGTCATAAAACCTTTCTTAAAGGACGAATTTACGATGAAAAAGCAACGCATTTCAAATCAACCTAGGGACGGTGAGTGGTACACGAAAGAAGAAAGAACCATGAGAAACGGACCAGAACCCGAGAAATGCTACCCCTTCCTTGCCCGTTGATTCGAGCATTGATGCGACTCTCATCGCTGTGCCCTCTTCAACACTACGCTCTCTCAGCTATCTAATCACTCGCCACGTATTGAACTACGGCGAGTGATCAGATGATCGGTGGGCGGAGATCGCCGGACCCGCCAGTTTTCAGGCATGATAGGTTGCCGAGGTGAAATTTTTTCCATTCAAATTGGCGTCAGTTCGCACCCTCAGGAGGACCGTGGGGTCCTTCAACTAGGTCAGTTTCCCTTTATTCGACCGTCATTCTAATATTCCTCCTTTAAAGTTGATCCACGCATTCTGTTTTTATCTAGAATTATAGTGGCATTTGGATACGATTTGCGTTATTAAACGACTTTGGACAAGATGTGCAACTCAGCAATTTTACTTCTCATTTGCTTGCAAAGAATAGGGGTCCTGGCGAAGCGGTGAAATTAGCCACTTAGTATGTTATACACGATTTCTTCCCATCCACAAACATTGCTCAGCTGTTCGGGAAGGGCGAATACTAAATTCGTGTTTTCTTTGTGAAAATTGATTTGTAAGCGCTTACTGCAACTTTACGAACTGGAAAGTGGGCTTTGAAGAGGTAGACTGGACTATTCTCGGGAAGAATTTAGATTAGCAAGCTAACGGTTTTCCTTGCGCTTTTAAAAATAGCTTCGATGCTCGTGTTAGAGCCATCAAGCGCATATAAGAACAAAGTCTGGTCTTCACTCGCGGAGGGAAAGGGAGCAACTCAAACCGCAATTCTAGTAGAGTTATCATCCACCGGATAAGCCTACTATCGTAGCTGGTTGGATCAAAAAATTCAATAGGAAGGAGAATTTTGAGGGGTTCATTGTGATTTTGCATCGGTCTAACATTGGAAAAAGCTGTCTAAAAATACGGATAGCTAATCGGATGACCTGGTCACTTGGAAATGTAGGTTTTCTATGAAGGCGGTTCTGATTCTACAAGTTGCGACAACGAAGTTTCCTAGAAGCCGAGATATCCAAATTTTTGAGGGGTGTCCTCTGATTTTGACCGCACTGTATTATTTGCCTGCTCGTGACTATTCGTGGTCACCAGCCTAAGCTCACGGCCCACCTTCCGTTTTGCGCCTTTGGTGCCTGTCCGTATGTACCCATTAGAGAGGCTATAATTGATTAGACGATAAAAAGAGCGGCTATTCAATGCCCTTGGCACAATAATAATTTCTCTGAACATAGACGTGCTTAAGTTGCTTCTTCGATAGAGGACATATGACTTTTGGTCGCCGTTCGACCACAAGTGTATCTCAAAGATTCCCGTTCCTACAAGGCTCCGTGAGCGCTTCTCGGCATCAATTCTATTGAATATCTGTTAAGGGATTCGAGACTCGAGAGACGTAAAGTTACAAGTCCTAATACAATTGAAGTTCGTGAAAGGGAAGATGGGTATTGCAGAGAGTTGAGGTAATCCAATAGAATAGAGGACGATTTCGCAGCCCCTCTACTTGTAAGAAGTTCTAAAAAGAGGATGCTAGATGCTTTCAAACGTTAACGATTAACCTGAACCGGAGCTGACCAGAAAAAAGTTCTTGGAACAGTAATAGGCATTGTCCGGGGTATCATAGATCGAGAGAGAGAGAAGATGGAAAAGTAAGGTAGAGTGAAAAAGGTGTCACAGATGAGAGTAAGAAGATCATCAGATTGCTGAATAATGCCCCAGTGGGAAAGCAAAGTAATCCGTCAAAAACACGCGAGATGGGACCCCTTCCTTTACCTGTTAACCTCCCATAGTAGACGAGCCACCAACTAATTAGGGATCGCTTGCACATGTTGAACCGATAGCCGCTATCATTTCAGCAAATATCATGATTTGATTGGTAACAAATTCCATGGGAAAGTTATAAGATACGCGCTCGAAGTGGAATGTCTTACCTACAAGATCAGCACAATAATGCTGCCAGCAACACACTAGGGCGGAGCATAGGCGGCGGAGGCGGAGCTCAGGGACTACTGGCAGCTCTAGGGCGTTGAACTAGCGCGCCATTGGCCACAAAAAGGCCAGCTCTCGCTTCCTCAAGCTCCTGACTAGTGCTTCCCACTAGTGCATGTATATTAGGCGTTTCAGAAAGTTCTGTCGTTTTCCGACCTGGAATTTTAAAGGCATGTATCTCGGCAAGTAAAGTACACCTTTCGAGCTGATTAAAAAATCATTCGAATGCGCCAACCTTTCTCTATAAGGAACCACTCTACTGGGAATGCTTGTTCAGAATGCTGGAGCAGTAGAGGCGATGAACTGAGAAGGTCGATTTGGCATAATGTTGGGTTTTGATGCATTATCTTTAAGGAAGCTGTCGTGATCGTCACAAATGTGGCAGTAGATAGACCAAAGGTCTCCTAAATAAGATGTTCGCAGAATCCCTCTGAAGTCTAGCTGGTGCAACATGTGAAGGGTTGGCGGTGCGATGTACGTCCAGGACACCTTTCAGATATGTGTCCACCCCTTCTTAATGAGGAACGCTTCACACATGTCATGGAGTTTTTGGTGATTGGCGTAATGTAGACTGCTTTTCCACTGTAACAGTTCCTGGTTATGGGGAAGAACCAGGCTCCGTCAACCTTATGAAAGTTGCCATGACCCTCCTTCAGCACAGTTTGAGTTTTGCACAGTTTGTAGAGCTCTATCGTCGTCGAGTTATCCAGCAAAGCTTCGTGGACTGTAGAGAAGAATCCGTTCTTTATTGAACGCTGCAAATCTGTAGAAAAACGAGTCGCTATTATCACATAAAACATGTCACAATTTGATGGTCGACCCCTCAGAATGGTGAGTTGTCGCGGCTCGCCCCTATCAACTTTTTGGACTTTCCAGCGTTTCCGTATAGGATCAACCGCCCGTTGCACAAAGAACAACAAGAGGGTCGTATTCGGCTGAACGAAAGGGGAGGGGTCGTATTAAGAGGGACGGGGCTGCAAGACGGTTTGATAAGCGCAGTGTCCGGCAGTGCACTTTTCTCTCTAATGTTTTCCAGGAGCTCTGCACAGCGCAGCTGTCGGAGAGTCACACAGACAAGAGCTCCATGGGAGCATTAGAGCATGCAGAGCATTATAAGTCTCCTATCAGCTATTATACTACTACTTATTATTATCCTTAATATACTCGCTCGCAGCATAGAACAAGATTACAAGAGCCAAAAACTTTGTTACAGTGTAGTGCAAAAACATGGTCTGTCTTCGATGATCGAACATTCCTGAAATCCCAAGGAGAACATAGTGTAGAGCAGTTCATGAGGGAGTGAAACAAGAGTACCATAAGACAGTACATTGCAACTCAGTCACGATACTAACACCTTTTTTAGGAAAATGGAGGACTTTCAAATACGAGTGCGACTTCTGTCCACAGACAGGTGCACGGGGTACACCCGTGCAGGCTTTTCCCCATAAAAGCGCCATCTCTGTCAAGGGCCGTGAGCAGACAAACTTCCAAAGAAAATTTCAATGCTTCCAAACCAAATCTAAGCGGGACAAAGTGTAGCGAACTTGCTGAATTGAGTTCTAGGAGCCCTTTAGGAAATCAAGGCAGAGGAAAAAACTTCAGGGGAATTTTACATTTTTCTTAAAGTACTCTTCACGCAGATTCTAGCAGTTTTTACAGCTTCTCATCATATTAATTTTGAAGAATGTTATGGGCCTTTGAAGACTGCATAGTCGCGGTCCAGGAAAATGGCTTGAAAAAAATCAAGGTGGAAAAAAACGGAACAACGGGATTATTTTTTGA